CAGGGATGTATTAACCAGAGTGATGCGCGCCCAACACAGTGTGGGGTGTGGAGGGGTGCCAGCTGACATACGATGAACATTAGTATATCATAAGATTCAAAACTCCCGTGGGTACACTGGGCTAATGTCACAACAACAAAGGCTGGTGCATGCAGCTCCAGCTCACAGCACAACTGCACAAGTTGTGCTGTGACAGCACTATTTAATAATGATGAATAAGATAAGTAACTGCAATTATTTTGCATTGATAGTGTCATCGATGATCCCGAGTGTAATAATAATTACCATGTGTTCAAGGTTCAGATATAAGTGAACACAATACTAATTATGATGTTCACAGCAGGAGACAGACACACGGCTGAGGTTTGTAAATCTACGCATCATGCAATGTGACTATGTTTCATCAGAAAATAATCTTGTGGAAAATTATTCAGATTCATGAATTCGTCACAGGAATCTGATAATAATATCAATGTTCGAAGTGATAATAGCAATGTACACAGTGTATTTCTGGATATTTTGTTCTGTGAAGTGGCTGCTTGAATCAGCTGGTCGTAGCATGTACCTATATACTGAATAGTACTAAGATTTCATCACCACATACACAAGAATTACTTAGTAGTTCGTTACCGTTTATAAAAATATACACAGTAGATGTATATAACGTGTATACAGTATAGTGTAATAACAGCAAAATAATTTTATTCATCTAAGATTATAAAATATACATGTCACTAGATATGAGCAATACATTTTGAGCATAAAAATGTTCAACATATTTAATTATGTAAAATTAAATTACACAATATTGAATAATATTACCGAAAAAAAATCAGGGACATTGAAATAATCACGTAAAGATGTATAGTACTGTACTGTACCATATTTGCGGCAGTTCCAACCACACTGCTGTTAGGCGCTAGGCTGACCTTGGATTATTGTTCTGAGTATATAAACTCTCAACACAATGTTTGTAATTCATTGTGGTGCACAAAAAGTGTAGTTATATATCATGTGTGTGTGTGTGTGTATATAGTGTAACAGTAAAAACAGTTTTATTCATCTAAGAATATAAAATATACATATTACTAGATATGAACATTCAAATTAACAATGGATTGTTCCAATTTACCGTGATCAGAGGTCCATGAGAACACAGGGTGGTCACAACTAAACTTAATGCACCCAGTAAAATAGCACAAGCAGAATTAACATGGCAGAACACTCCACAAAGAGGGAAAAAGAACTGCACTTTTTTAAGTCAAAGCCCCAGGACCGAGCTTTCAACAATTATGTCATTGGCATGGGAAAAGGACACGTTCCTAGACAGAACATTTGACGCTCGAGGACAACCGGGATAAGCAGGGTATGATCGTCAAAAGTAATTTTAGCTATAAAGTATGTAGGAGCTAGAACCCTTACCATGAGAGGGGTATAGGTGAACGTGTCCACCTGGACAATGAAGTGCCCATGGTACTCAAAGACAGTATTAATTTTGTCATGGCAGTGGCAGATAGGACAGAACAAGAAGCTGGCACAGACAGGGAATCTCATCCCCTAATGGTACTTTCCCTCTACAATAGGAGACAACTGATCTAAACAATGACAAAATGAATTCATCCACACCAGTGCAAACCCCCTTTTTCCTCGCACACGTCCCAGCCTGGACATCCATTTCCATCAACACAGGGCGACCTTTCCGGCAAGTGGTCTGCTGACTGAACCGAGACTCCTTTGTCAGCCGATGTTTTGCTGCACACCTTCATGGTCAGCAAGGAAGGGAAGTACAAGCCACCCTAAACTGCCAGAGAACTGCACACAAGTCCCCTCACGTCATCAAACCAACTCTCATCGGGGCATTTCCAATACATTTGTCTTTTTTTTAACACACTGGTAAAAAAAATTCCTAGTGTACTGTAGACAATTTGATAATGCAATTAAAAATACTATAAACACATACATGGAATTGGAGAAGCAAACACAACATGTGATACTTTTGAAGTATATTTGACACATGAATTTTATTCTAAATACCATAGATAATTCTACAATTTGCATAACAATTTGTACATTGTTTGAATGCTGCTCTGCTATATTCTATAAATAACTATGAATTGTGTTTTGTATGTGTGAACTGTGAGAATGACAGTTTTAGTCACCAGTGCTATACACTCCCTAAGGCAGCAGCCTTTCACTGGAATATAAATGTATAACCTTTGCCACTCTTTGTTATGGTAATGTACCAGTTCTAAGGAAGGGGGAAACTAATAAAATAACTGAGCATTTCGGACACAAAACACAAATACCTGAATTCTACGCTCGTAGAGGTTATTTTACTATATATACCTATATATTTTAATTACCACTATTATACCAAGACCAATGCTGACAATCTCATGTAAATAACCTACGTCTTCAAAATGATAAGTCAGTCACACTGCTAATGAAGCAAGGAGAAGAGTAAAGGATATACAGGGTTCATTCTTAAGATGAGCGTGCAAATTACACATTACTTGGCCTCTGCCCCTCATGAACTGATATTTTCCATAAAGATGATCAAACTTTACATGTTAAAAAAAGTACAGTACACAATACTTTTTTTAGAAATGCATTAAATTTAAGTGTACTTTTGTAAAAGGTATAGAAATATTGTATTTTATTTAATAATTTTTATAGCATGTAGCAGTAGTGTAATCTACCTGTACTGTATATATTTCCTAAAACAAGACTGAATTTAGCATTTCACAAATATGAATACAATTATTCACTTGTATTGTGGCATTGAGCAATAATAAAACTTGAAAATAACTCTCCAAGGCTAACATTTAATATGGCAAACAAGTAACATACGAAATGACAAAACTTGCTATAAATAGCAATAAAGACTTTAAAATATATATATAATTTACATTGCTGATAACATTGCAAAACTATGCATTTCCACATGTTTAACAATTATAGGGTTCTAATTTAGACAACCCACACACCTGAAAAACGAGTGACAACTTCGGTAAGTGTCAGGACAGACCAAAACATTGTCACTTCCTTTATTTTCCACGTGTGGGGGTTGGGTGTCTAATTCCCTAAAGGTTGTGTTTTAGGAATTGCTGAAGTTGGCTCAACAAGAATATAAGAATAATTGTCATAGCACAACTGCAAGTGTAAATAGAGGATGAAAGCTATGCTTGTGGTGTCCTGTCTTCCCAGTACTCTGTCATACAACGCTTTGAAACTGACTGTTTTGGCTTCCACTATGTTCTCTCAATCTGTTCCAACCGTCTATCACTCTGCTTGCAAAAGAAAACTTTTATATTTTTTTGACACCTTTGTTTCCTTAGCTTGAATCTATCATCTTTTGTTCTTGAAGTTGCTGGTTTCAAGAATTCCTCTGTGTCAATTTGGTCGAATCCTGTTAGTATTTTGCAAGTGGTGATCACATCCCCTTTTTTTCTGTCTAGCTTTGGCATATTTAACACTACTAGCCTCTCTTCGTAACAGCTGTTTTTCTAGTTTCGGAAGACATTTTGTAGCATGTCTTTGCACCTTTTCCACATTTATTTATGTGCTTCTTGAGATATGGGCACCATACAGCTGCTGCATAGTCCAATTTGGTCTCACAAAAGTCAAGAACATTTTCTTCAGTATTTCACCATTAATGTAATTAAAAGCGATTCTGAAGTTGGAAAGCGCACCAAATGCTCCTTGCACAATGTCCTTTGTGTATTCCTCTAGTGACAGTCTACTATCCAGAACCCCTCATAGATCTTTGTTTAGAGTTCAATTCCTTTCAATATAATTTGTAAGCTGTGTGGGGCTGGTCTATTTTCTCCAATTCCACATTCCATAACATGGCACTTATTCACATTGAATTCTATTTGCCACATGATGCTCCAAGCACTAATTTCATCTAGATAATTTTTAAGGGCATAACAACATAGGTTTCATCAAGGTTTCCTATCTTCCCTAGTAGCTTAGCATCACCAGCAAACATGTTCATATAATTCTGAATGATCTACATAAATCTATGATTTCTGTAGAAGATCTTGCATATAATCATTTATGTAGATCTGTATGATCTTCTACATCATCTACATAAACGATCTACCAGAAGGAAGATCGTTTATGTAGATGATGAACAGTACTGGCAATAGAACTCAACCCTGTGGTACTCCGCTAGTAACACTCCTTCAGATACAATGTCTTTGATTACTGCTCTAATCTTTGTCGGGTAGAAAATTTTTCATCTGTGTCTACAGTCTCCCTTTCTTCCCTCCAGCATGTTTCATTTTCCAAAACAACCGCTTGTGTGCAACTCTGCCAAAAGCCTTTTTAAGGTCCAGATAGATAAAGTCAACCCAACCATCTCTTTCCTGTAAAATCTCTCTGGCTCTATAATAAAAACTAACTAGATTTGATACACAGGATCTCTGTTAAAACCACATTGTATATTATGTCATTACTCTCCAGATGTTCTACTCGTGTCCTTGTAAGTGTTTTGACTACAGTACAGGTACGACACTTTTTAATGATGCGGGCTATAATTTAGCGGGGTCTTCTCTGCTACCATTTTTTTGTAGAATGGAATTATGTTTGCCTATTTCTGAATATCTGCTCAGATTCCTGTGGACTTTATTCCACACAATTGAAGTGTTCTGCTCAACTCAGTTGAACATTATCTCAGCAGCTGAGGTGAAACTCCATTTGGTCCAACAACTATTTCTTCCGAGCCCCTTCAGCAAATTTTCCACTTCGTTTTGACACACCTCTTTGTACTCTGGGGTTTTCTGGAATTGGCATTATGTCTAGTTGTCCGAAACACTCATTTTGCACAAACAATTTGGAACTGTTCATTTAGTGTTTTGCACATTTCTTTTTCGTTGTCAGTGGTCCTGTTCCCCTGTTCTCAATCTCTAGATTTTATCCTTTACATGCACTTGATTTTAATATATTTATAGAAGAGAGACCTGGAACTCTCTTACATTTGTCTACTACCTGTTTCCTCAAATTTTCTTTCTATTTTTCTTCTCACTGTCATGTAGTCGTTTCTTATTTATTTGTACTGCCGATATGTTTGAAGGGTAGGCCTCTTCCTTTTCTCTGGCCCTTACATTTTCTGTTGAACTAATCTTGTTCAGTTCCCCATACTCGCCTCTCTTGAAATCAAATTTTTCAACAGTTTTATTTTCCTTCTTTTCTATATTACAATGCATTGCATATTTAATGAGGAAAAGGACCTTGGAGTAAGAATCCACCAATCACTGTAAGCTGGGGGAAAAAAAAAAAAAAAAAAAAAATGAAATGAAACTTTGAATTGTATAAACCCCTGGTATGCCCCATTTGGATTATTATATCCAAGCATGGAGACCTTATCAAAAAGACATTTATGCTTTGGAAAAAGTTCAACACTGGGCAACAAATTAGTCCTGAACTAAGTCAACTCTCATATCAGGAATAGTTGAGAGCCACATGGCTAATAACACTGCAAACCAGACATGACAGGACTGATCTCATTAAAACTTAAAATACTGAACAATTTGGAGGATATTAATCCACACCACTTTTTCAAATGTAACACGAACAAAGAGCAATGGTTTCAAACTCGAGAAGCCACAATGCTAGACAGTTAACAGGAGATGCTTCTCCACCCATAGTTATAAATCATTTAACTGCCTACTAGCTGAAGCAATAAATGTAGAAAAACGGCTGAATTTTAAAATCTAGCTCGATAAAGTCATCAGGACAAATGGGGGGGGGAGCTATGACAAGCTGCCAGCTTCCTGTCTTCATAAAGGCCACTAGAGATATTGTGGCATAGGTAAATTTTATTGCCAATAGGACATGGTTGCTCCTGGCCAATGGAGTAAGGTACCGAATGTTAAATATCTCTTCTGGTTAAAACCAAATGCAGAATAGATGGAACCCTTCTCTCGTTCTTGTAGCCTGTTTAACATGATACATGAATATTTCCAGGATGAGGTTTACAAACTGGCCAGTCCAAAATTCTTCCATTCTTACCCCTTAGGCCTCCAAGTCTATTGCTTTCAAATTGAAGTCATCGAGAATCAACAAGTGATTTACCTTTCTCTGCTTTTATTATAATCTCTCTCATTATAATGTCCTATCTTTTTGTCCTCAAGCTCTTTGTTAGTCCATGTGTTGCTTGCTGATGAACTGTAGGCAATAATGATCATCAATCAGTTTATCATCCTGACTGCAGATCTTCAATCCCATAATATCACTTTCTTGCGGGGTTGGCAAATATTAATTCTCTTACCTTTAGTCATTCCAGCACCAGAACAGCAATGCTTCCACCTTTTCTAGTTTTTCTCTCGTGTTGTTATGACTGGTATGTGAGGTTTAGCATTTATTTTCATTAAGCTAAAAGTGGTGTTTTTAGTTAAAATATCAGTTCCCTTTATTTTGTTAATGTTAATATCAATGCTTCTTTTGCTAGTGTTCACAAGTATGTTTAGTTATGAGAAAATGTTTGTGTTTAAAGTTTTCCCACTCGCGTTCATGAGGGAAGCATCCCTGCACCTCCACCACAGAAGAGGGGATCTGCAATCACCTGATTGAGGATGTATGTGGGGCGAGAGGTGAGTTATGTTTTGAAGTTGTTTACCGTATTTTCTCACTACTATTTGAGAAAACTCAGCTAATCTGGTGAGTGAGATACGATTTCCATGTTGTATTATGCGCCCATTCCCTGTAACCTTTATTAAATACTGTACACACACCTTGATGGCTTGTTTAAGTCATAGAAATCTAAAATAATGGTAATTACCCAAATGTAGTTAGAGGATGAGAACTATGCTCATGGTGTCCCATCTTCCCAGCACACTGTCATACAATCATACAACGCTTGGAAATTACTGACAGTCTTGGCCACCACCACCACCACCTCAGGAGGTGGTGCACAAGAATTTATTGCGCAAGTTACTTTCTTTTCCCTCTCATGTATAAGGTTTTTCTTTATAATTTACATTTGTTATGTATTTCCCAATTTAAAATAACATTCATGTAAGTAAAGAAATAGGGAGGCTTAATATTTTCTTACTATAATATGTTTTGTAAAATACTGCTGCCATCCCATCCCCCCCCCCCATCACAATGTCTCCAAATACCTTGGGAATATGACCGCACTTAAAATTTTATCTTCCGTTTGTGAATGATTTCCCCAGTTTAAATTTATTTTGAGGCTTTAGAACTAAAACTGGCAATGAATAACTATTTAAACACCAATGTGTTGATAGAGTACATGAATATAGCTATGAGTATCTTTGAGTAGTGGTGTCTAATTATCTTGTTTAAATCGTATTATACAAAAATTAAACTTCCACAGTATTCAATCGTCAACCACGCTCATTTGTGAAGTACAGTACGTAAGATAATTATGAGGAGAGAGCACTAAGCTGGATAGGATGAAAGGCAGGAATGATGCCCAAACCACTTGAACAATATGGAATCAAACACCAATTAACAAGAAGCAAGACTGTCATTGTACTGTCAGTCTCAGTGGATAAATGATCTCATTTATGAACAAATATTTTATGGGAAAAAAAAAAAGTGCGCCCGCACACAAGAATTAAAATGGATTCTGAACTTTTCATTTAGATTAAGAAACATTGCCATTATCCTCTCTGCCATGCTAGCTACAAAAGTCAGACCAACATGCGACACCTAAAAATACGTGGGGAACCTCTGAACCATGATTAGGTGAAAGAAGTAAGTCTTCATGACTAGGTTTTTCCGATTGAATGAAAAATTTAAATTTCGGTCAAGGTCTAGTAATTATCACAATACTGCTCATACAAGAAAGCAGTGTTAAGACGTTGACCAGACCACACACTAGAAGGACGATCCAGGACGGACCGAAACGTCGTCATCCCTTCACCTTATTAGAAGGTGAAGGGACGACGACGTTTCGGTCCGTCCTGGACCGTCCTTCTAGTGTGTGGTCTGATCAACATACTTTAGCCACGTTATTGTGACTCCTCGCCTGCAGTGTTAAGACGTTTACCACATTCTCCATAGCGGTGACGACCATCTCTCCCAATATGAATATGCCGAACCTTATACATTTTGAATTCCAATTCTGAACGAATGGTTAGAGCTCACATGGCCTATATGTATAGTGTGTATTTACAGTATGCACATTTCATCTGACAGACACACCTACAATAAATATACGCATAACACACACACACACAAACTATACCGAATGAGTAGATATAAGTAAAATCTGGAATGAGACACCCATTTTGAATAAGAAGATGAAAGGATGGTTATATAGCAGAAATGCAAAATGTAAATATATATTTTAAATTAATTAAAAAAATTGAAAAAACATTAATTTAAAACAATTTAATTACAACATACAGTATATTTGTACCAGTTAATAATTTAAATATCCTGCAAGCCAGCAGGTCAGTTATCTGCTTTGATCACCACTCACAATGATTTCTAGAAACCAGCCATTTCTCACACTTAATGAAACAATTATTTAAAAAATGTTTAGCTTTTGTTACATATATTAAACTGACAATATGACAGTTAATTTATCCACAATGAAAAATGCCACAGTTCTGGAACATATACAGGAGGTACGTTACTTAGTAGCTTAAACATTTTCAAAAGGACGACTTGTAAGTCCAATAAAAGTCAATGAAATTTCAACAATATTACCTTTACAAGGAAATCACAATAACATGATACAGTATATAAATGAGAATCGATTGGAGCAACGTGGTGACCCGAGCCGGCCATCTGAGTACTCTCGGCACGAGAGTTGTATATGTAAAACTTTAACTGGCATCAGTAGGTGCTGCCACATGTCCTGTGGATTCACCAGAATTACAGCTTGTATAACCTTTACCTTGTTGTGGTAAAGGGGACAAGGTGCATGGCTGGGAGTACCCAGGTCACTGTTTCCAGTTACCATATTGCTCCAATCGATTGTCTCAATACAGTACGATCTTTAATAAATAAGATGTACCTATTTAGCATCAGGAGGGAAAGTGGGGCAAAGAATTATTGGGTTAGCAGTGGTTGAAATAGGCAACAGACTTCCATATTGAAGCACTTTTGAAACTTTTTGGTTAACAATGCCAAATCATAACATGTAATAACATCCTTACATTCTAGCAACAACTGAACTGCAACGGCTTATCACGAGTAATACAGTTGTATTGTACAAGATGATTACAAATTTCACCGATTTTTCCACTGACCAGTCTTTCATGTGAGCTAGTACTGCCATGTGTGATACAATACAAACTTTTATTATAAAATTTATTCAATAAATTCAATAATCCAGATACATCCTCCTCTTTGTGACGTAAGAAATAGGTTGCACGAAGGGTTAAATATACTGTACAGCAATGGAAATCTCTACATCAAATATACAAAATATATGAGTGGAGAACAGAAACAAAACTTGGTACTGTATACGCTAATGCAGATTTCAAAGTTTTGTTACAGAAAACAATGGGATGTATGGCACACATCTCCACATTCTAATGTCAACTAGTCTATGACGAGCAAAAGAATTCAGTTTAATATGCAATACCCGTTTGGTGCCGAGCATACACATGTAGACAACAAGCTTGGCGGAGGACATGAACATAATTACAAATGTTATATATAAAAAAAAAAAAACTTTACATAATCTCAAAAATAACCATACATATGAATAATGAAGTCCCTCCACATTAAGGTTAAGAAAAAGGTAAGGTGATACAAATTTAAGCTTTTCGAGCAACAGCAGGGGGTATACCTTTGGCCAGTACATGTTCAACGCATCTTTGGCTACCTTCTCATTTTGTCCAGCTATCCTAAGCCCTCTCCAAAACAAATCAACGTGGAAAAAAATACTGTACTAATTACGAACACATTTGGTAGAACGGTAGGTTTCACAGTACTGTGTATCACACTTCTTCACCATAGTAACATGAAATTCAATTCTTTCATATTCTATACTGTACTGTATTTAAACTCGAAACATTAACATCGTTGTTTTTTTGCTACTACAAGACAAAACTAGAGAAAGAATGCTTCACTTACACTGAGAGCAGAGCTATCGAGTTCCTGACGATGGTGAAATGAACACAGAATTCAATGAATGGTTAATATGCATGATTAAGCCCCAAATTCTCAAACAATAGCAAAATGATCACCCAAATAAAAAAAAATGGGTATTAGTCTCTTCATGATTCCACAAGATGTAGCAAAGTAA